TTTCGGACATTTTTTGACGGACAAATTTCTTCTTTCTTCAGTTTGAGTTCAAGGATTACATTATTTTTGTTACAACTTACCTGATTTTTGGATTATATCCTCGTCCCTCCTTTGTCATACTTTGTCTACTTTACGGTTTGATATTCAAAGGGTTTGTTTCTATTTCTGCAGATTCTACGGTAGAGATACCCTTCTATTTTCCAAGTCCTTTCTTATCAATCACAGTACATTCATCCTCATTAACCAAAGCTCCCTCCTCTTCCAATATATCGGTATTCGCATCATACCTTTTCATTACTTTGCTTCTTGGCTCTTTCAAATATCTTCTTCAATGAGTTCCTCATGTGTGGTTGATTTTTCTTTTTGCTTCTTCCCAGAATCACTGGTCTTTACAGTGTCCTTCAGACCCAAAACTTCTTCCATCATGGCATCCAACTTGTCAATTGTATCATAAGGGTCATCACTGACTAAAGCACCTTCTCTTTGTAATGCATTATTATTGGAATCATTCTTTTCATCTTGAACAGGATTTCTTGCTCTGGAACGTGAACGAGAAATAGAACGAAGATAATTGGTAGCTGATTCTGAACGTTTACTGAAATATGAATCACTCATGTGATCTTCTTTCCTTGGGGTATCAACCTCAAAATTAGTATAATCACCACTTGTCAATAAAGACGGATCTCTTGGTAATGGTTGTTCAGCTTGGAAAGCAGGATTATCAGACTTGGCCAATGCTTCAGCAGCAGCAATAGAATCACCCATTGTTGGCTTAGATTGTCTACTACGTCTTTCATCCAGTGCAGGAGGTTGAGCGGGAGCTTCAACTTCTGGAGTCAAATCACCTGGCAATTCATACTTGGAAGGTTCTTCAGCATGAGTACTCTTATAAGAATCACCACGAGCCAAGTGAGGCTTTGACAAGTTGGTGGTATGACGAACAGAAGATGAGGACTTTTCTCTAATTCTAGTACTTGGATTAGCTGATCTTGATCTTGATCGAGCTCTTTCGGTGTGCAAATACGATAATTGACCACCGTCTTCTAATCGTTGCTGTTGAGCAGGAGAAAGTAAAGTCTGTTGAGATTGCGAAATTGGCAGCTCAATATCCTTTCTAAATCTTGAATTTCCACCAGACGCAGAAGTCGGCAATTTTTCTAAATCATAAGATTGAACGTGATCCAATAAATCACCGTGATCTTTGATATCGTGTTCCAATTGATATTCTGATAAATTTGGAGTCGAGTAGTCTTCTTGTTGGTAAAATGATGAAGATCCGGTGGTACCAGATGATGAAACTGGAGCTGAGTTTGATGCAGTTTCTGGGGGAGTAGATTTGCCCAGAGACACTTCAGAAGCTTCAGTCTCAGCTTCAATTGGTTCGTCATCGACAGTTTTGCTTGCTTTTTCCACTTTTGGTTCTTCTTCTTCTTCTTCTTCTTCTTCTTCTTTTTCGTTTGATTCGTTTTCTTGATCCTTCTTTGGATGCTTTTCGACATGAGTGGCGTCTTCTTCCATAATAGCATCAATTTTAACACTACCGTCTTGCTCTAAAAACTTGTCAAAATCTTCTTCTGATCCCAATAAAGCACCTTCATTGATCAAATCATCCAAAGAAGCAGTAATTGCACTACTTAAACTAGAATAATTGTTCAATTTATTGTTGGTACTATTCTCCTTTGTGGAGTTGTATTTTTCAGGATGAATATAATTATTATGTGACGAATCGTCGGCAGATCTAATTGATGAACCGACTAAAGATGGGGTTTCCGATTTTTCTGCTTGTTCCAAGCGTTCTTCGATATCCATGGTAATTGATGATATAAGTTAATTAGTAGATAGGAGTAATAAAAGGGATGAAGTAAATGTATAGGATTATAGATTAACCTCTTTGTTTTTTTTTTTTTTTGCTTTTTTTTTTATTTTTAAGATTCTTGTTTTCTCTTTTATATAATTTTAAGAAAAAGTGTTGGCCTTTTGTTGATAAGACAATCCTGCGTTAAATGTGGGTCAAAAAAAAAAAATTAAATACAGCAAAATTAAATGTATTGAACCAAGAAGACAAGAAATAGTTGGGCTCAAACTGCTAATTGCTACTGTTTAAAACAAATATAAAACCAATATGAGCTTGTAATATCAATAATATGTTATAACTCATTATTATTACAATGCCTTCGTCCAATTATCAAATTAAATACGTTGCGGGAATTTAATCGTCTAGATGCTGTGATTTTGATTTCACACAAACTAGTTTCTGAAATTGGGTAAAAAAAAAAAATATTTTCTTTGATTCGATTTACAGCTAAAGTGGAGTTGATATTGTGGACTTAGGCGCTAGACCTTTTCTCTAAATATTAGTTACTATTGCTACAGTATACGAATTTCAAAATCTAGAATTGTATTTAAAGAACAAGGAGAAACGGATACAATTATATGTGCTTTGATTGTTCATTGATCCTATATAATGCCATTGAATCACACGATTCATGAAAAGATATCTAAAAATAAATAAAAAGAAATGTGCCTTTTCAGAGCAAGGGGAGAAACGAGAAACTATATAAGCAACCTGATTATAGATGTTGATGAACTTACCATTGATTGTCTTGGTATGGTTCAATTATTAGAAACCAGACTCCTCTTTTTTTTTGTTTCTATGATATTCTGATCGTATTCTTATTGTCTTTCTTTTTTAGCAGCTGCAGCACAACAGTGTACACGATTATCAATCTGAAACTTCCGATTGGACGAGAACTCCCCCGCTATTTTGTTTTTCTTTGGTCCTAGAGGTTGATTCAAGTATCACCATTCTATCTTACATAACAAGAAAGAGTCTTTAACTTAGATGTCATTCAAAAAATAATGGTTAAAACTCTAATAGGTGTTAGAACATTCTAGGCGGTTTTGAAGATTATTATTCTTAATTTTGTGCTTGAATATTTTTTGAAACAAATACAGATGGTCATTTACGGCTACCAATATTCGTACCCGTCAAGTATATCCTCCTGCTGCTGGTTATTTAAATTTTATGACTCGATTAGACCAATATTTTGGTATCGATTTGATCACTTAAACCCTATGACTCTCCTAATGAAACTTCATGACTAGCATGATGGCGCTCCAAAATCCGCCGGGACAAAAATATTAAGTGTGCTAAACACAAAAAAATATTTCTGGCACGTTCGCCACCAACATCCCAGCGGGAGGACGGGTAGTAGAGGAAAGAGAGACAGAGAAAAAAAAAAAAGAAAATCTTTTTCAAAGCTTTATAAAAGCGAATCATTTCTTTTTTAGATTCTTTTTTTTTCACTTCCACACGTTTCTTGTTTAACTATTCAATAACAAATAATAACAAATAACAAATCATAATGCCTAGACAAAGAAGATCTGCTCCAGCTCCAAGACAACAAACTAGATCTGCTCACACTGCAGCTGCTCCATCTGCTTATCCACAACAACACAGTTACCCACCACAAGCTGCTCATCCAGCTCAACCAGTTCAAACACAATCTAGTCAACCAGGTTTATTTTCACAAATGGCATCTACTGCTGCTGGTGTTGCCGTTGGTTCCACTATTGGTCACACTTTAGGTGCTGGTATTACTGGTATGTTTGGTGGTTCTTCATCTTCTGCTCCAGCTGAAGCTGCTCCACAACAACAACAAGTCGCTGCTTATCAACAACAACAAACTCAAGAACAATCTAAACATTGTGATGCCGATGCCAGAAGCTTTACCAGATGTTTGGAAGATAACAATGGTAATATGCAAATCTGTGATTACTACTTGCAACAATTGAAAGCTTGTCAAGAAGCCTCTAGACAATACTAGAAATTCAAAAATGTGATAGTGGACTTTGACTTAAGTAAAGAAATACCGCAATAATTCAATAATGTTAAAATCTTGTAAGTAGAATCAAGGTGGCTCTTCATCGTCAGGAGAGAAACAAAACAATACTAATTTATTGAATATGTATTTAAAAAGAATAAAAAAAAAAACGTAATAGAATATTTATTTATTAATTTGAAATTCAAAGTATCTGACAAACTGTAGTATATTAGTTTCTCTTCTTTTTGGAATCCCAGTAAAAGTAACCAGCACCTCCGAACCCTATCAAGGCAAGAATGGCAAAACCAGAACCACCACCGCTAGTAGTTTCTTTTTGACCCTGTTGCCCTTGATTAGTCAAATTATCATGTTCGATATCTTCAACAACAGGACTTTGTTTCTCAACTGATTCAGTCTTGTGGTCAACTTCATTTTCACTCAAATTGACAACATCACTAGTATTAATATTTGGATTTACTGAAGATTGAACATATTGATCATGATTTGCTGATTTTTTAACTTTTGAAGGGTGACTTTTTGGTCCAGAAACATCAATTGGATCACTACCTTTATCTTCTCTTAAAATAGGTTCAGATCCAACACTTTCACCACCATGAACAACATGAGCATTGTTTGCCTCAACTTTAACAGATGAATTGCTTTCTTTAGCAAACAATTCTCTTTCAACAGATTTGGCCTTTTCTTGAGCAATATCTTGTTTAACCGCTTCTTTAGTTAAAGGTGGAGCTTTAGGTTCTGAAGTTTTTGGAATGAAATCATATTTGAATTCCCATTCATTGATGGAAGTTTGTGAAGGTAATCTAAATGAATCAATGGTTGATGTATCTCCTTTAGCAAAGATTGCCGCGGAAGAATGGATAGTTCTAGTTCTGGCAACAATTGGTGCAATGGATCTAAAAGAAGTTCTAATCATAGTGGAAAGTAATAAAATGTGAATATATGAATAAATAATAATAAGAATATATATATATATAAAGCAATGAACAATTATATATATAAAAAAAGACAGAGATAAAGAAAAGTACAAAGTATTTAAATGTTTGGGGGAAGAGAAAAAAAAAGCTGTGAGAATGAAAGAGAGAGAGAGAATGTGAAGTGTATGTTGTAATGTCGATGATCGGAATTTCTCAGAACAGAGAGTCATCTGTAGAGAATGTCAAATTTCTATGGAGAAATTACATAATCACTAAGAAAAAATCAATATATATGTCCAATTTGATAGGCAGAGAAGTAGAGGTGCAACACAACAACAACAACAACAACATGAAAATGTGCAAGTAGTCATGACTCCTTCTTCAACAAGGCACAAAATAAAATGGAAGCAAATTTATTACAGACAAAAAAAAAGCGGGGGGACGAAAGGAACAACACAAAATATTTTTATTACAGCAGAATTTCAATTTCAATTACATAAAATTTTCTGGCCGAGAATAGGTCCGGATTTAGTGAACAAAATAATTAAATAGACAAATAAAATACTGCAAAAAAAAAGTATACTAAACCATACCCAACCATTTATTACTTCGATCTATAATACGTTTATTTAATTACATAATATGCTATTTCTTTTCTTCCTCTGCATCATCGCCATCATTACCATTCTCCTTGTTCTTTAACGAAATGTCTTTTTCAGACAAACTTCTCTTCATTTCTTCATTTAATAAATCTTCAAGTACCATACTCGGGGCACGTAATGGACTTTTCGGAGGTACTGAATATTTACTATCCATAATTGATCCATTGATTGAAGAATCGTTAATTGTTGAACCTGCTGCTGATGCAATATTAACATCAAATAAAGTCAGGCTCTTTTCATTAAAGAATGTACTGTTATTATCACCATTATGAATTTTCAATAATAACGAAGCCAGGGAACCATTATGTTGATTTCTATATAATGGCAAATCAAAATTCTTCAAATCCATAGTTGGACTAATAAACATAGATCTTCTAACATTATTATTTTTAGTAATATTACTATTAGTGGTGGCTTTATTTCCCAATACATTGTCTCTATATGAACGGCCTTGGTTTGAAGATGATGAAGACGAATTAAGATCTAATGCAGATGAATTTCTTGAATAAGAATAAGGAGTATTCAAAACTTCATCTAAATTTGAATAATAAGTCTCTTTTTCTCTATGAGCTCGTCTTCCAGATTTAATATAGGAAACCAATCGATAAGTAATGATCAGAAGAAATATAGCTCCAAGAATAACACCAACAATTATGAAAACCAAATTGGTTGGTAAGTCGGGTACATTGACATAAGGATTATTCAGCTGAGGTATATGTGTAATTGTTGTTGTGGTTGCTACTGTTGTGGAAAGGGTTGGTAAACCAGTCGAGTCAGAATCAGCTCGACGAACTAATGTTGGAGTTGATTGAATCATCGAGGTAATTCTATCATGTTTATGATGTTTATGATAAGTTGCTGCCATGACCACATTGATCAAACCTAATAAAACAATAACCATTTTTTTTGACAGGATTGAAAAGTTATAAATATAAAGGAATGACTAAGGGTGAGTATAAGTAAATAATAGCTTTTGGTTTGTTAACTGCCGATCAAATTAAATCTATCAAGTTAAAAATAAAACAGAAAAGAAAAGAAAAATCCTCGACGGTATTCAAAGAATAAGAAAATGAAAATTTACTGTTGAAACAATTGGATTAAATTATATATAAATATATAAATATATAAATGAACTGAGCCATGTAATTGTTTAATGCCCATGTGTATTATTGCCCTACATATTAGGAAGAAGAAGAAAAAAAAAAATTGAATAACCTGAAATTAGATAACCCTTTAGTTTGTGGAATTTATTAAATGCATAGTGATTAGATTTTTTTTGTTGTTGTTGTTGGATGAAGGATGTTGAACCAAGCGTGTTTTTTTTTTTCTTTTAGTTATTTTTTTTTTGTTTCCTACGATATGGATAGTACTTTGCTGTTGGAGAATTTTCATGATATAATTCCCTCCCTAGACCCTTGAGTTGTAACAATTCTTAGGTGGTTATAATATTATGAAGTATAAAAACTTTCTTACAATTGAAAAATGCCCAAAAAAAAAATCAAAGCCCATCTTAAAAGGGTAAAATTATTGATGTAAGAATCGAGGTGAAACTTTGCTCTTGTATTAATTTACTGCAGCGCATGTTGCAAAAACAGAGTCGGAACACAAAGCGCACAAAAAGTTCCCATCCTTTTCTCTCCCCCAATACACGCGCGACTTACTCAATATTCAAGACGAGACCGCGTCTTTTTTTTTTTTTCTCTTACTCTTTTTCCACTTACATAATTACTTATACGAATCAAGGAAAGGAAAAATGAACTAGAAAAATTTTCTACGTGTCATCAGCCACAGCTCTCCTTTCGATTGAATAATAAAAACAATAGCACAATGCAATATCTTCATCTTACTTATACACCCTAGATCTGTTTCATAATCCACAAGCAACTCGTTTACTCTTTAAGACTATGGTTGTGTAAAGGGCACATCAATTAATTATTTTCTAACTTGTTTTTATTTTTATGTAATTCAATATGAACTCTATTTTGACAAAAAACTATAATACATATATATAATTAACGGTTATTCCATTTGTTGGTCGTTTATGTTTCAGAATCTCCAGTTTTCGTCAGTTGATTCAATGGCCCATTTAAACTTATCTCTTAAAGTCTTTGTGAATAATTTTTCAATTGGCACATCAAATTTCTTGGAAAACATTACCGTTAATCTTGGATCAATATAATTCATCTTGGAAGTACCCAAAGAAACCTCAGAATTATCTTCTTTGTCCTTTAATTGGAATGATGTAGTAAGTATTCTATTTTCAAGAGTTTCAATTTGACCCTTTAACTTTTCAACCGTTGCATTCTTTGGAACCACTGGTTTACCGGTTTTTCTTTCTTGCTTATATTCCTTTTCCAATTCAGTGATTTTATCCATTTTTTCCTTGATATCTTTCTTGGTCAATAATGGCTTACCTTCAAGTTTCAATTTCTCATTGTCACGTTCAAATTTCTTTTGAACTTGTTCACGTTGTCGATTGATAATGGTATGATGAATATGTTCAATATCTTCTTTAATCAAATCATCAATTTCTTCAAAATATTTTGCATCTTTTTTCTTCAACTTAGGCTCTAGAACTAAAATCATTTTCTTTAATCTGATTTTTTGCCACATCAATTCCTTCAACTTGTCATTGATTTTTTGAACCGTGTTGCTGTGGTTTTTACTTACTGTACGCTGGTGATTACATAAAATAGCAACAGTTCTATTGGCAGCATTGAATTTAACCACCTTTTCCGCAACAGTACCTTCATTTTCTATTAAGTCAATTTGATCTTGCATAGTTTTAGATGCGTTATAAGTACGGAAAACTTTGGCTGTTAATCCCTTCATGTAATTTTGTAATTGTTTGTTGACCAATGAAGGATTAATACGATCAAACAAGTCATCACCTGGTTGTTTTGGAGCCTTTTTGAATATACGTAAGTTCTTGAACACTTGCTTATCAACCTCTACCTCTTGATAGAATCTAATCGAATCTTTACCCAAAAAGTCAAACACTACCTTATTTGGTGGTTTCAAAGTAACATGTTCGTATCTCAAAGAACAACAACCAACTGTGTCGGCTTCATCATCTCCTTTCTCACCACCTGCTCTCAATGCAAACACATCAATAAGATACATCGCTGTTGCCATTTGTCTATCTTGCATTTTTTCAGATTTCAACATTTTAGTGTAATCCTTACGGATTTCATCAACATGGTTTCTTAATCTTCTGGCAGTTTCAAATTTCTTGAAATCAGATTGACCTTTAATCGACGAATTATTTGCAAATCTAACATACTTGGTAGAATCAGAAATATTTTCTTTCCACATCGCTAACCAAGTGACTTCATTATCGTGTCTAATTTCTCCCCATTGGTGGCCAGCAGGTGGTTCGGGAACTTTTGCATCTTTACCAAGATTTAAAGTAACTTGCTCTGGGGCGACTCTACGCTTCAATTTACCTGTCTTTGGATGTGCCCCACGTCCACGAAACAAACCAGGAGGTTCAATACGAAAATTGCCTACCAATTCTTTTCTACCATTAAGATAACAAGTCTTGTAAGGTTCTTCAAATTTATCTCTCTCTTCCTTAAGTCTCTTCTTTTCATCTCTACTCAAGGCTTTCTTCTCTTCACGTTGTTGTTCATAATATGCATACATCTTGGAAAAATCCATTTTTTCAAACTCCTTGATTTCAACACCACATCCACCACATTCCTTCAAAACCTCCAAAAAGTCATTAAAGAAATTCTTTTGGAAAACAGGGTTTTTGGCATGATCTGTTTCCAACATCGCACCGTAAAAACCTGCAACTTCTTCTGCTTCGGGAGGCAAGTTCACTGGCTTCCCATCATAGTATAGTTTGACGTGAGATGGTAATGGTTCATATTCTGGAGGGAAAATCACACCATTATGTTCTAGTGTTTCCCATTTGATACCTCCTTCGGTTTCTTCTGTTGCCTCCCACCATTTATACCCTTCGTCTTCTTCGGCTTCAGGAGTTTCAGATTTCGTAGGTTCCTTCTTAAGTTTGGTAGGCAGTTCCTTTGATTTTGGTTCTTTTTTAAGAGTGCTTTTCTCTTTTTTAGCTTTTGGTTCTTTCTTAGTAGCTGTTTTTCTTTTGGTACCAGGTTCCTTTTTCAACTTTGGTTCACTTTTGGTCTTTTTCGATGATCCATTAGCCAATTTTCTTTTCTTCAACGGAACCTCATCTTCGTCTTCTGAAGCATCATCTTCATCTTCATAATACGAACTAACTTGTTTCTTTCTTGTGCTTCTTCTTCCAGCTAATGGAATATCTTCTTCATCATCTTCAAAATCTGATGTTGGTGTGGTAGATGATGAACTTTTTTGATGTAACTGAGATAAAGGTATTTCTTCATCCGATGAACTCATGATTGGAATACTAAATCTTCAATTGGCTTAACTTTAATGGATATTGGCTCTTGGCTGTTGATAGTCTTCGTTGAATAAAACAACAACAAAAAAAAAATCTATCTCTTTGATCTAATAATATCTGGGGGAAATTCTTATTTCTGATGCAGATGAGTTTTTGAAATCAACCTTCTAAATGAACTTACAAAGTAGTTTATTTTTTTTAAAAAAATAGTAAAGAATCGATTTAGTTTTGTTGATTAATTGGTTGTCTGATTCAAGATGCACCAGTTCAATGGGGGTTGTGAAAGTAAATGAGAGAAGATAGGGAAGAAAAAAAAATTCAGTTTCTTCTTATTCACGAATTTTTTTTTTTTTTTTATTTCTATTGTTAGTAAAGTAAAACTACCCATGGAGACTGAAAATAAAAAGAGAGCGTGAACCAAAAAGTAAGAAAAAAAAAAGAAATGAAAAGAAAATGCGACAGATAATTTGTGCTTGCACGACTATACTAAAAATACTTGCTGGCCAATTCATCTAGAGAGGCGCCCATTTACCACCGAGCATCACGTGCATGTGGTGTAATACGTGATCTAGATAATATCATTTTGAATCTACTTTGGAAGATCCTATTACTATTATATTATCAATTGAATACGTGCACTCACATAAAAAGCCATCATAGACAGTTTGTTCCATGAATCTTGGAATATATAACGTACAAACTTATGGCCAAATGCTTTGCTGGTCAAGTGCCTTGAATGTGTTTTCTATAATTTTCATGGCCAACAGCATAGATGATTACTGATATTAACAATTGGTGTTTAGACTTTAAGAAAAGTTACTAGTATTTTGCAACAATTTTTTGCTGAAAAATTACACCAAAAAATTAATATTAGATTAGATGGAAGCCATCTTTACCTAGATCCATGTCAAAACTCGGCGTTACCACCTCAATTAGGATGACCTGCTTCATGAATCCCCTTTACTTGAGGACAAATTCAAAACTAATATTTTGTACTTTCAACATCGCAGTTAGTTAACCTTTTTCTCATTCGGTATATTTAAAAATGGCAACACAACACGATGTCACGTGCATTCTAATTTTTCTTCTTATTTGCACGACCACATAACAATCGATATTCTTTGTATGATTAATAGGGGGAGGATCACAGATTCAAACGAATTTCAGCTTTCATAGCATTTCATTATTATCTCTTTTGTGATATCCATTTCTTAAGGCATTTTGAAGTTCATATTAAAATGAAACAAAAAGCAATGGCGAACAAGGCATTCTGTCAGTGTTGCACGAGATGAGATGCCATTTGCGTGAAAAAAAAAAAAAAAGAAATTCCGTAGACTCTAAATTTAATGAAGTGACCAAATGCCCTTTTCACTGAAAATGGATATCACCAAGAGAATTTGTTCAAACCATCATGAATATCTTTATTTACCAGTACAGGTAATTCGCGGTTAAGTTTGGTTGCCTTTTTTGTACATCAATTGAGTCCAAGTCGATTGATTCTGGAGAAATCAATTCATCACTGGGGAAGAATATAGATGTAGAGATACTAACAATTACATAATTATGCGGAGAACTTTCTTCCTTCCAGAGACAAAAGAAATTTTCATTAAATTTTTTTTTTTTTTTTTTTTTTTACATAATGAATTTTTAAAGGCGAAATGTATTGCTAACCGTAGAATGATTATGCAGTGAGATTAAATTAATTGATTGTATCTTATCTCTTGCCATACAATTTTCGTAGCACAAGTACAGGAATATTTTCTTTTTTTTCTTTTAATTATTATTAATTTGTTTGATCACGGCTATTTGGCATAGGTCCCAAGCAGGAGAATTAAACATTACTCACATACAATACAGCTTAAAATCAGAAAACTCCCTTTGTTCAAAAATTTTTTTTTTTACTCATTATATATATTCTCATGAAAATTCCTGATTTTACCAGGGACCACTATTTTCTTTCGTTTCAATTTTATTAATTCTTATTTCCATTTTTCTTAGCATTCTATCGGAAAAACTTCTTACATACAATTGTTCCTTTGACAATGCCAGAAGATTATGAAAAATATGCTGGAAGCTCCAGCGAAGCTCACCAAAGACACGTTTATCCTACTCACTCAAGTAAAGAGAAAGACATTTCCAAAGAAACTGAATTCCTTCAGGATTCTGATATTGTCATTGGAGATGAAAGTGATGTTGGTAGTGTCAAAAGAGATTTAAAAGCTAGACAAGTTTCTATGATTGCCATTGGTGGTACTATTGGTACTGGTTTATTTGTTTCCACTGGTTCTTTACTTAGTACCACAGGTCCAATTATGGCATTGATTTCCTTTGTATTTGTCACAACCCTTGCATTTTCAGTCACACAATCTTTGGGTGAAATGGCTACTCACATTCCAATCTCAGGTTCATTCGCACAATATGTAACCCGTTGGGTATCTAAAAGTTGTGGTGCCAGTAATGGCTGGTTATATTGGTTTTCTTGGGCAATTACATATGCTTTAGAATTATCTGTCGTTGGTCAAGTCATTCAATTCTGGACTGATGCTGTTCCATTGGCTGCCTGGATCACCATTTTCTTTGTTATCATCTCTTTGTTTAACTTGTTCCCTGTCAAATTCTACGGTGAAGTTGAATTCTGGATTGCTTCTATCAAGGTTGTTGCCGTTTTGGGATGGATCATTTATGCGCTTATTATGGTTTGTGGCGCAGGTAAAACTGGTCCGGTTGGATTCCGTTACTGGAGAAACGGTTATGGATGGGGTCCAGGTATCCTTGTTCAAAACGATGGTAAATACATGGCCGCTTTTGTCAGTGGTTTGATTAACTCCGTTTTCACTTTCCAAGGTACTGAATTAGTTGCCGTCACCGCCGGGGAAGCTTCTCCAAGAGCTCTTAGAAGCGCCATCAAGAAGGTGTTGATCAGAATCTTGGTCTTCTACGTTTTATGTATTTTCTTCATCGGTCTTCTTGTTCCATATAATGATCCAAAACTTACACAAGATGGTGGTTTTACTAGAAATTCTCCATTCATCATTGCTATTGAAAACTCAGGTACAAAAGTCTTACCACATATTTTCAATGCTGTCATTGTTACCACTATTATTTCTGCTGCAAATTCAAATGTCTATTCAGGTTCTCGTATTCTTTACGCCTTAGCCGAATCAGGCGTTGCTCCTAAAATCTTTGGTAGAACCAGTAAATGGGGTGTTCCATATGTAGCTGTTATCACAACCGCATTATTTGGGGCATTAGGTTATTTGGCCTGTTCTGAAGATGGTAACAAGGCTTTTACTTGGCTTTTGAACATTACCGCCACTGCAGGTTTAATTGCTTGGGGTTTCATTTCTGTCAGTCACATTAGATTCATGCAAGTTCTTAAAAGCAGAGGTATCAGCAGAGACAGTTTACCGTATAAAGCGTTCCTCATGCCATTCAGTGCATATTATTCTGTTATTTTTGTTTTCATCATTGTGTTAGTTCAAGGCTATGCCGTCTTTTTTGATTTCAATGCTAGTGATTTCTTTACCTCTTATATTTCCGTTATCTTGTTTGTCGTTGGTTGGATTGGATTCCATTTCTACTTTTTCGGTTTTGGTAAAGATTCATTCAAATGGAGTAATATTTTGGTTCCATTAGATGAATGTGATATTGATACCGGTGTTAGGGATATCAACGATGCTGAATTTGATGTTCCACCCCCAAAGAATCTTTGGGACAAGTTTTGGAATGTTGTTGCCTAGACGGTTTGTATAAGATAGAATTAGAACTAAACGTAATATATTTAATGTAATTTATTTTAGAGATAGAATTATTGTAGAAAGAGATTATCAATACATTCAGATTCGTAAATATCAGAAAACTTCTAGTCGACATCAACTACATAAATCTTACACGACAAAACTAATTAGTTACAGCCTTGACTGCCTCTATGACGCTGGAGAAGATTTCCTTGTTGGCAGCAATGACACCTTGTGAGTCCAAGGTTCTACCTTTTCCAAAATCTAACGCCTTACCTGTGACATCACCGACTTTCCCACTAACCAACACACAGTATTTGACCTGTGAGTCAAGGTTGATTGTTTGACGAGCAACAGTTTCCAGATCAAATCCTAGCTTAACCTTGATCTGGGCTTGTGTGGAATGAGAAGAGTGTCCTTTTTCAACACCTTCGACTACTTTCAACTCCTTTGGATCTCTGTGTGTCTTCATGTTGATTCTCTTTTGCTCAGCAAGCGGGGTGAATCCAGAATTGAACAATGGCGCATAGTATGCACCAACACCGGTATTGCCAACATATCCAAAAATTTTATGATATCAAACTTGGCTAGTATTCAATGAATGAAGGATATAAATGTTTCAAGTTTTGGAAGCTTCTGCTTAAGGATCTGTCTTAGTAAAGAGACTTCAGATGAGCTTAGAAAGGATTCTCAGAGAGATTTTTGATGTATTAGTTTGGTTTGTAACTACAAAACAAGAATCAGATCTAGCAATACTTTCAAATTTATATTAAGTAGCAAATTATAAGCAATATACAATGATTATAATGATCTGTATGTAATTATAATCTTAAAAATGGCCCAAACAACCACGATAGCTAACATGAGAGGATAGCAAATTTTTTGTACCATCAATTTCAGATTTTCATTAGGAGAGAATACTCCAACTATTTTCACTATCATGATTAATACTAACTCTGAAACAGTCAATATAGTTGAACCTTTAAAAATTGACTTGAACAATTTAACTGAAATTCTTTTAAGGTTACCAATTGTGAAACTATTATTACGTGATTCTTGGTCAGTTCGACCAACGTTGTTGTTGCCTTCTCTTGGTACAGAAGTACTCATTTCTGGGTGTGAAGCGGAGATATCACTCTTCTTGTTAGTGTTGTATGTTGTAAAAGAAATTAAAGTTAAAAAAAATGAGAGAACTTTTATAATCCAAAATTTAAATTGGCTGTCTAGACACATTTCAAAAAATGCTCGTCTGTTATGCTTTCTTATGTTTTTTTCTTTTTTTTTTGTAGTTTTGCAACCCAAGGAATCGATTGTAGTGGCGAGCCAAAGTAGTTGATGGTTCCCCTCTTACGTTAACAAAACTTTGGCACATTGATTCATATCTCACCCCCTGAATCAACTTGTTCCTATAGTCGCTAGTAACATCTTACTTGTATAGATTCCACAGATGCTTTAATCTTTTTATGTGGCTATCTCATTTTGCTAAACAAACTCCCCCAAACTTCATTTCAATTATTAACGGACAGGTCTACGCACTCTTTTGCGACTCTGAAATCTCCCACGTAAAATAAGTACATTAAACTTAAAAAGCACTGCTATCATAAACAACTTCACTATGGATTATTCTCACAATAGTAACCAGTATTGAGCCTACCAAAATAATGATAGCCATAGCTCACCGCTTGCCAAATATACTTCTTCTCCGGTCGTTTTTTTGGTGGTAACGTCCATATATCCAACAGCTCAAAACTTACAGATACTTCATATTTAGATTGATGCTCTTCCTTTTCACTTCCAGGGACAGACTCGCTACGTTTCCAATTAGTGTAATGTATCCCCAAGTTTGCATATGGGGTTTTGAAATCATTGCCGGCGTGAGCATAGAATATATCTTTTATTGTCTTATAATGAGAGTACACCCGAAGCATACCTCCATCAATTTTCCAGAATGAAATCACCAACGCACAATCCCAAATATCCAAGACAACTAAAAACTCAAGGTCCTGGATACCCGATCCCATGCTTGCTTTGAGTGCTTCATAGATGACAGAAACATGTTTGGGGCCACCAAGCAACTTTAACTTTTGACCAATTACCACCGCTTCTACCCCCAATTTCCCTTGTTGATAATCACGACATTTGAACCATCTCCATACGTCCATGTCAGTATTGATTTCCAAGACAGTCTGCACAACAAGTATAATAAGGTACACTGAAATCATACGTTGAGCTACTTTATTAACCTTTAAAGAACTCGTAATGACTGGTGTTGTTGATAATAAACTGGTTTTTAGCTTGGTTAGTTTGTTAAGCACTCTAGTTTTGCTAACAATATGCATGATTTCTTACAGTGTAGACAAACAAGAAAAATTGTTACCTTTTGGATAGATGTGTTCAATACATCATATTGTTTGATATATATGGAACTTGTTTTCATTATAGTTTCCTTGTGCAATATAATCACATTCTTGGTTTTTGTTGTTGCTGGTGACTTCGAGAGCGCACGCAGCCAACCGCATTGCCTAAATCTTGTTTGTGTCAACTTTAGAGATGCGAAACTTACACTTCCAATAATGGAACATGTCAAGACAAGCACAACATTCAACATGCTACACCAAAAGCCGTGGGGATTGTCTACCTGATGCAATAAAATGGAAAGAATAACCGCAAACTATTTTAGGAGCATCAGTGTTGCGAGCCAACCGATGAATTGCATATCTATCTTTTTAGGAAACGTTGCTACCATAAGGAAACTATAAAGAAAAAAACCAGTTCATATAAAAATAGCATGAAGCACACGCTTTATTTTAGTAATCATTAATCGCACCATTATCACTCGTGACAACTATCAAAATGACCAGCGGTGCTAAAGAAGCACTTGACAGAAAGGAAGACTCGGGCTCAGAATTCAGTTTTGTCGGTGATGAAAAAACGATCTGTGAACAGGATCTACCAATAACTACAACGCCTGGTATTAACCCCCGTATCGAGTGTTGGAGATTGTTTATACATAATATTTTTAGAACGGTTGTTGAATTGAACCATGACCTCGATGTTTGGAAATGGTTCATGTTTTCTAACTACAAAGGGAAACAGGAAGTTCAAGCTGAGGTACAACCTGAGAAGTTCATGATATATGGTGGACCACAACATACCAGGGAAATATATCGTCGATTGAAGGCTGGTGTTGGTAAACGAATTCTGAAACTTCAATTTATAGTAATTTCAAAGTTTGAATATCAAGAGTTTGTGACTATTTTCTGGACTTGGTCTTCCACAGAAATCCGTGTTTATGATGTGCTAACAAAAGAGCTAGAACTATTTTACAGATTTGCTGCCACAAAATTTAGAAGTAAATGTGAA